CACCTGCAAAAAAATCATTTTTGACAGGTCATCACGTGCCACAATATGGGAGGGGGGATTGAATATGGATTAGAACATTTATATATATATATATTTATTATTATTATTATATATTTATGCTTACCATCTATTTGGGTTTTAGTACTTCACTTGACGATCACACATGACTAGTGAGCTGCAGCGTTTAGCTGAGTGATTATTGTTACCCTTGTCGCTCCTGTTTGCCTATTTATGTTTTCTCACGTTGCTCACTTTCATTAGTTATTTGTTTTCTGATTCATTTCACCGGGGAACGCAAACCAGATTCAATGAGTTCAGATTCCGACTAGATGTCCATGTGCTCTCTATCCTAATGTGATCATCCCATGGGACCCTACTGGACCCTACTGATCAGTCTCTTCTTTCATTTTGCGTTTTCTTTGACAAACCACAAAATTACCGAGCATCGGGTGTATGTGCCAATCTTAACACGAGTTTGTTCTTTTGGTTCGTTTATCGATTGCTTCGTCTAAGTAGCTCCATGTCGCATTCATCACGATCAATTCTATTTCAGCTCTGGCCCACCTGCCGAAACTCGGTCACAGTGCCCTACCAATTGATCAGCAATTAGATCCTGTGCACTCTCCTCATAGTGAGTCTACCCGAGCTCTACTGGCGACCGAAGCCCCAAAGTACCAGGTAGAAAAATCGGTATTTCTTGACCCGAAGCATGCCTTGGTCATTCGGGGCACAGCTCAGCTGACCACCTCGGAACCGGAATATGATGATCGTTGGGTTGCGTTGCGTCGTTCGCATGAGTATCATTTCTTGCCGAATGAATTAACCGCGCATGAACAGGCCGAGGGTACGGTATTAGCCGTCGGCGTGGTCACTCCCATGCCAGATGCGCTCGAAAACCAGAAAGCCCGCTTCTCGTACAACAATTCGTCATCCAAATCCGCAGATCGAAAGGACCCCGGGTCGCTCCCTCCCGTTCCCCATCCAGCGCCAGAACGATTACTTCGTATGTGGCTGTCCCAGCTTCAAGAGCACAATCCCGGACTAGCTGAATGCACCTTGGTTATGCGCACGTCCAATTCAAACGAGCGGTCCGCTCGAAATTCTAGTCCTAGCGACTTTCAGTCTGAGGCCGATATACCTCACGCACAAGCATCCCGAATCTAGCTAAATTTTATTGAGTTTTTACTTTGAATTATACACCAGTCGCTTCTTTGGCAAAACACCAGCATTTGTCATGTTCCTCCCTCTCTACTGATATACATACATATGTAAATAAACGCAAAACATTTGAATAAATCATTCGCCTTCTGCTCTCTTCTTTCAGATGTGTTCTTTGAACCGTTCATGCTGTCGTGATTTTTTCATGATGCAGTTTTTCGTTTCGATATTTGTTTTCATTTTGCTTACGAACACGAAGAATTCAACGTCGGCATTTGTTGTGCGGACGAACAAATTGTGAAATCCATTTATAGAGTTATAGGAAATGCTTTTGACCATGACCGAGCATGTCCAGAGTCAGATGAATAATTAACGTATCTCGACCGGCAGAGTTATCACTTTTATGGCTACTTTTATTAGCGATACGGTAAAATATCATCTATTGAAAAAGTATTCAAAAAACCGGTTCTCCTAACTCGGGTGGACTGATTGGATTTTCGCCCATTCGCCGAGTTTCTTGACGAAACGTATCATCGCCAGTCGAAGTGATAAACAACTTCAGTGCTTGTGAACCGGCAGTGTTCTGCTCGTGCCCATCCAATTGTTTATGTTCTTCTTCCACGACTATTGTTGTCCATTGTCCTCCTTCTGCATAACCTTGTTCACCGTTGAACTGGTTCGAAGATACAGAGAGAGGGGGGGGGGTGTTCTCCCGTCTGAATTGCAGTTATTTCAGATCCGTTCTCGGGTCAATGCGTGATCTTTTGCTGCATCACTTGCCCCTTGAATTTGCTTTGGCGTGCACATGTGATCCAGTTCGCTATACCTGTTTCGAAACTTACACGGGGCATGATAGGCCTCCAGAACGTGTCCGGCGTGTTTTGCTCGGGCTTGGTCGATGATTCTCACTGATTCGAAGTCTTCGTGCAAGGAAATCACTGAGTGGGTTATGCCTCTTGATTACTAATGACTGTTCACAGATCCTCGTCGATAATTCTCTTTCAGTTTGTTTTATGTATTATTTCGGATAGTCCTTGAAGTTTATGTTGTACATAACATTGGTTCTGGTCTCTCTCCCTCGGTTTCGAAAGATTCCTCGGATGCAGGTGGTTGATTTGTGCGCGGTTTGTATTACGTGTATTACGTCTGAGTAATCTGGTCATCATTTCCTGTTTGAGTCTGTCCGTGCTGTAATGCGGTTAGATTCTTCTGAACATGGTCCTTACACAACACTTTTTTAGGGGTGGATGGGTGGGATGCGGAGGTTACGCAATCAAGTCTCATTCTAATCGATTCACGTAATCATTCCAGTCGTTGAGATATCCTGAGAATGTCTGTTTTATTTTGACACGTTGTTTGATTGCTTTGCCCAGCTTTTTAGTTTGTCGTTCGTATAGTTTGCCTGTTTTGCTGTGTTTCTCTACTACTTAATACGACCTCCGTCCACGAAGACCAACAGAGATATAAGTTAGAATTCGAGTGAAGTCAAAAAATTGCTTTAATACACCATCTGGTACAAAATCAGTGAGAATCATCGACCAATCCCGATCAAACCACACCGGACATGTTCTTGAAGCCTGTCATACCCCGTGTAATTCAGTAAACAGGCACACTGAACTGGATCACATGAACATGCCTACACAACTCAAGGGAGCAAATGAGGCAGCAAAAGGTCACGCAATGACTGGAGATCGTACCTATAGCGGCTCCCATTCGGACGGGAGAACAAATCCTGTCTCTCTTCGCGCTAGTTTAACGATTAACAAAGAGGAGAACAATGGACAACAATAGTCGTGGAAGAAGAACATAAACCATTGGATGGGCACGAGCAGAACACTG